CAAATTAGAATGCCCGGAATTCAAATTTTGAATCTTAATTGATCAAAGTTTTGTATTTGTTTAATACGCCTAAAAGATTATCACTTCTTTAAATCACAGAGAAATTGGTGTTGTCTAATCCACTTTCTTAAACGGTTAATTATTACTTTGTCAGTTTTTCCGACCACACCTTTCATTCAATGAAGACAATAGTAACCATATTATGCACCGCAATTTTGATTGATACATTCCTAGCATATTTCAAAACGTTTATTCTCCGGGGTTTCCCAGATGAGCGTTCGCGCGATCGACGCAATGACTTCATTCATCAAAACACATCATCATATCAATAAACTTTAATCTATCGATACCATTGTGCGAAAATTAACAAGTAAACTATAAAATATTTTACGATTAGTTGCAATAAGATTATACAAAAAACGGAAAAATTATACTTTCCTCATTAAGTAATTAATGATTCAGTAGCGAATACAGCGCAAAATGGCAATTTTTTAATTACAAATGGTAAGTGAGAAATATTTCAAAATTAACAACTGATACTAATAAATTATGTTGTTCTAGGGACCGATCGTGAAACATAAGACAACTATATTTGAAAAAAAAATGAATGTGAATTTTTGAAAAAAAAATGAATGTGAATTTTTAAAAAATAATTTGTAAAGATAAGAAATATTTAAAGGTGGTATGACGGTGAAACAGACATGTACATGCAGAAAGTAATATTCTAAATTTTGCTATTGTATTCATTAATTACCGATAAGGGTATAAACGCGCCAATAAAGGAAGACACATTGTCTTTAATGCGTCATTAAATAATAAATGTATAGATACCCGAATTCTATGTGTGGAACAAGTTATTAATGGTTCCTACCAAGAAGTTAATTTCTATACTAATTATAGGACAATAAATCAATTACACTACATTATTACAGTCACTAATTCATGCTGATCTTTTAACAAACTTAATGCGTTATAGGTGGGGTAGTTTTAAGTACATGCTTTAGAGATATTTATCTTTCAAATGTGAAGATTCTAATAGTTCAATTTTATTTAAAACAATAGAAAAACAAAACCATCCTCCTCCTTTTATAGATAGATACTAAAACAAAACCAAATCGTGTTTACTGTAAAACAACTGATGTAACAGAACATTATGCAACCCGCACGTTTACACGGTTGCCTATCTTTTTAAAACGTATTGGATTTGGAAATTTGATGAAAATGGTTCTACCTTCGGCACAATAAACCGACCGAAAAAAAGGTGGATTTAGGCAATAACGTTGGCAGATAAAACTAATGCTGGTTTTCAAATTTACGAGCGCGTTACGTTAAATAGAACCTCACGATGCCATCAAATCAACAAAGAAAAAATGCTTTTTAGTTCAAGATCACCTAAACTGTATACCTGGAGGTCGTTTGTATTTATGTAATGTACACAGTATATCACATGTAGTAGTAGCTAGAGTGAAATTTATTTTCCACCCATCGCATAAAAGAAAAAGGATTTATATGTCTCGAAGTCAGAACCCTATTTTACAAAGCATCTAGTTCTTTAAAAGTCGACCTCTTCCGATTTATGTTAAAAATACACCCCTGTAAAACTATTGTTACTGTCTTATAGGGAATTTCGATAAGCGTTTCTCTTTAACGTCTTTTCGGTACAAATTATTGAGAAATACAACTGGAAATTAAATTACAACGCCGTAGTTTGTGTCCTTGCTCACTGTAGAACATGTAAAATTTTAACATAAGGTCATACTAATAAAAGTAAACATGAAAACTTTGGGTATTTTTAATCGCAATACTAACACAAAATTTTAAATGTTAAATAACAATGTTGTGCGACAAACTGTCTATTTAAATTGGAATTTCTGTTGTTTGTTTGTAAGTACACTTGATTCAGGCGATAACTTACTCTTTTCCTAACGAAACAACTGCTTGCTAATGCTACTCCTGAAGAACTAAAAATGGAAAACAATAGCGCGCGACATGCACATAAAAAGTTACTGGCTTTTTAGTGATTTAACAAAAATACGTGGAGTTTCAAGGACGTCACCGTAATACTTAAGTCAAAGATGCGTAATGAGAAATTACGAGATGGATTACAGTAGATCGCAAGTGGGGCCTTGCTTTATCAACAATAATGCTGAATAAAAAAAACACAAACGCTATTCAGTGATCTATGGAAAACCGGATCTAGTCGGCCGCGACGGAGGCAATCGATGAAATAATTGAAATCTCACATAAATCAAAATTTCAATAGAAATAAATGTCTAATAAAAACAGAAGAAGTAAACAGCAGGAGCAACTGTTTTTTTTTTTTTTAATTTCAATTTTCCCACCGTTATATAACCAATCGATCGAATACTTTTTAAAAGATCCTTGATTTTACGTTGGGGATGGTCGAATAAAAAAACACTAAATAAGGAAATGTTGCAAATGGACTAAATGGCTTGGCAATCACTTTCAAGGGTATTATATTAAGCATTTACAACGTTTAAGAAGGTGAAATGACCAACGAACTCGAAACGTGCAAATTAATAAAATCACAATCACTTTCGCTAAATGTCAAAACGTTTTTGCTGGCGCGGCTCTTCTGCAAATTTGCAGTTGGCATCATAGGTCAAATTGAAATTCACGACAGTCAAAAAAAATTAGTTAGCATAAAGTGGCAAGGCGAAAGGATCGAACCTTTACCTAGAAGCCAATGATGAAAGCAAAGTTCTTTTTTCATCACGAAGTTTAAAATAGTAGTCTTTGTCTATTAAATTAATTTCTAGGTTTCTAACAATTTTACAACGATATTTGTATTCAACATCCAGATTAGTAGTAATTAATAGTAACAATTTATAGATTCTGTCGCAATAGTCCTTAATTCTAGACGATTTGTATGAGTACACTTTTAGATATATTTAGAATTGCATAGTATCCGTTATCAATTTATTGATTTAATTCGATGAAATCACTATAGGTAATGATCACATTCGAGGTTTTCTTTACTATTATATCCAATTAATATTTCAATAATTACATTATAGTAGCTATTGATTACACTTATAACAAACGGCATAGTGGACGCGTCAATTAAATAATCACGAAGTGGAAATTACAAATAGTTAGAAGAAAATTATACCAATCATTATTTACTTTACCTACTTGCTCATAAATTATATGTACGTTTGCAGAATAAAAACTTCAGAAAAGCAAAAATTTTTTCATATAGACTATGTGGCAAAATAATAGGTTATCGTTGAGGAAAAGCTATTTAACTAATTCATTACTTCACACATTCTTAATACTTACCTATTACTTTGAGCTGTTTTCTATTCTTTTTCCTCAGTACCAAGTAGCACCAAGGATTTATTAAAAAAAAAATTTAATTATAGTAAAACTACGCTAAATGTAAAATCAGTTTCCTGTCAAAATTTAATAACGCAACTTGGTTTTCATGTAATAAAAAATCAAGATTTTTTTTACCTTTTAGACCACTGCACTCACTTTACAACACTTTTAGACCGACTCATACACAAAAATGTGTATGGTATTTTTCGTTAGCTTTTCGTCACCTGAATTGCGATTTTAAGATCATTGGTTCTCATCAGCACCCCGTAAATAGTTGCAACCGAATACCAACCAACCTACACGTCTCGCTACTGTGGTCGAGAAGTCAAGTCAAATAAAAAGTCGATAAAGTCACAAACTGTGTTAGTAAACAATAAGAATCAAAACTACTCACCCTTAGAATCGGCTGGTGGATGCTATTCCTGAAAAAGAAAACACAAAATTATTACCAAATATACAGCTATAAATAAATAAATAATCATAAGAAAGAACACATTTTGTGAAATATTCAAGTTTGATCTGTTAGGTCGTCATTCAAAAGAAAATACATCGCCATCTCTGCAACAGTCAGAAACAGAAGAATAAATATTATTTTCGTCATCAATTGATGCGGACTCCGTTGAACAAACACATCGTTATCCCTGTTATTCCCTATACCCGCCAGAAGAACAAATACGCGAAGACTTCCCCGTTGTTATTGTTACAATTCTTATTATTATTTGCCTCGAGATTCTCCGTTTCCTTAATTCATTGTCCCTTTAAAATAGAGACGGTCTACATTTATATCCTGGCTTAAAAATAATCTGATTAAACCCTAAACCACTTAAGCACAGAAACACCATCAGCGCGCTATACGTATTCGTCCCCTTTACCCTAACAGAGTGCCGCAGAATACGTTTATGTGAACCAGAGTAATTACACCGAGCCATCTTTGATCGCGACGTTAAACACGTCATTGGGATATATGTACCTACATTTGTAGAATACCACGCCGGAAATTAATTCCTTCAAATCTCTCTCGCCACTTATTTCTAATTAAGTTCCTCTAAATTAACGTTAAATAATAAACATCAATCATTGTTACATATTAATTTGAAAATTCATTGTTAACTTTTTCAATAAGTAAGGAAAAATTTATTGTTGATGTCGCGCCCTCGCCGGGAATCGAACCCGGGACCTTTGGCCTTACGCACCAATGCTGTAATCGCTGAGCTACAAGAGGCGACAAAAGCAACAACGACAAACCATACTTAAAAGTCACACAGGGTGTAATAATAACAAATTTTTGTTTTGAGGTAATTTATGAGAACGAATTTTCATATTAATATTTAATATTAACCACTAGAAATATCAATCATTGTTATAAAAAAAAATGCTATTCTTTTACTAATATTTTTGCACACATTAATAGGAACCACTTTCTGAAAAAGTTACCAAATGAATAGCCGGAAGTTGATTACAATAAAAGTTAATTCTTTCCGGCCCGTTAACAGCAAATGGAATTAAAACAGCATCCTCGCTGTACGCACACAATTGTTATTCATATTATTCATCACATCGGATGTTGCCGGTTATTTACATCCAAAAAATGAATAAAAAAAACATAAAGATCTGCGATAATGAGTTCTCGCAATAATTACTTTCTATTGTTTTGACAGGTTCGACCAATTTGGTCGGAAAATTCACGCAAAGCGTTAGAAGAATAGTTCAGGACGTGAAAGACGAAGGGACAGCGAGTGGACAGACGAAAGAAGAAGTCATAGATACCAACGAAAGACTGAGAGCTGTTAGGATGAGACTGGACGAATCTTACGACACTGCGAAAAAGGCTTTGGTAGGATTAATGGGAAAGTACAACGACAGCAAAGCTGTCAATAACATCTTCCAGAGGTACAAGCTCCTGAAAAGCATGATAAAGGTAACACAATCAAATCCCGGAGGGTGTCTATAGCGACCCGACATCTATAGGGTTGTTCGGAAAGTCATTTCGTTTTTTTTTGTGGAAATGAAAGACAGTTTTCGTATAATAAACAAATACTTTATTAAATTATATATTGACCGTTCTGGTCCAACACCTTTTGCCATCTTTCTGGTAGTAGCATAATTCCACGCTCATAAAATTTTTGGTCTTTGCTGGCAAAAAACTGATCGAGGAGGTTTTTGACCTCCTCATTTGAGGTGAAGGTTTTACCGTCTAAAAAATTTTGGAGTGACCGGAACAAATAATAATCCGATGGTGCCAGGTCTGGAGAATATGGTGGGTGTAGCATTGTATCCCATTCAAGCTGTAAAAGCTTTTGGCGAGTGACCAAACTTGTGTGAGGTCTCGCGTTGTCTTGGTGAAACACTACACCTTTCCTGTTGATTAGTTCTGACCTTTTCTGTTGAAGTGCATCATTCAGTTTGTCCAGCTGATGACAGTAGACTTCCGAATTAATCGTTGTGTTATCCGGTAAAAGCTCAAAAAAAACGATTCCTTTAAAATCCCACCAAACAGACAGCATCACCTTTTTTTGGTGAATATCGGCTTTGGAAATGGTTTGAGCCGGTTCATCTTTTTTGCTCCATGACCTCTTGCGTTTGACGTTGTTGTATACAACCCATTTTTCGTCCCCAGTGATGATGCGCTTCAAAAACGGATCATTTTCGTGACGTTTGAGAAGCGAATCGCAGACGTCAATGCGGCGACACAGATTTCTCTCTGTGAGAACATGGGGAACCCATACATCGAGCTTCGAGGATAATCCCAGGCCTTTCAAGTGGTCATAAACTGTTGAATTTGATAAATTTAACCTCAATCCGATCTCACGTGTTGTTATTCGCCGGTTCACATCAACTAATGCCTTTATCGCGTCTTTATCAGCTTCAACCGGCCTTCCCGAACGTGGTGCATCTTCGACATCAAAATTGCCGGATCGAAATTTAGCGAACCAGTTCTGGCACTGGCGTACTGTCAACACACCTTCTCCATACACATCAGTCAATTTCTTTCTGGCTTGAACAGCATTTTTACCCTTTCTGTAGTAAAACAGTAAGATATGTCGAAAATGCTGCTTATCGCTCTCCATATTTAAAAGGGCACCAACCAAAAACTACTGCGTAGAATTAATTGGAATTTTTCACACACAAGCCTTGCTATATGAGCTCTCAAAGCATATAAAAATTGTACGGCTTAAATGTGAAGTTGGGTGCAAAAGAATACAATTAAATCCTCTGTCGGGAAAAAACGAAATGACTTTCCGAACAACCCAATAGATATATTTTTTCGTGATTTTTCCAGGATTCTGAACCTTTTCAACGACAAAATTTCATGAAGTTTTCATGAAATAAAACTAATACTATAACCGAGCTCTCGTTGAGCTAATTTTAGAAAGAGAATTAAAGAGGAAGACGGATAAATCGAGTATTGAAAAGAGTCGTCGTCTCCGGTCTGTGTTGCCTGGTTCGGTTTCCCTTATCCTACAAATTGCTCCTCTGCCAGAGCAAACAGTTCAAAATGCTAAAATTCTGCTTACGGAGAGAACACAACGTAGAACGGCTTGACGACGCGATGTCTCCTAGCGTCGCGCTAATCGTAAAAGGGTAGCTAGGGGAAGAAGGGGAGAAGTGAACAAATTTCCTGTTACGGGAATATGACAACTCCATGAACTTTTGCTATTTTATTACTCGCAATTAATCTGGTGGGGGCTTCCGCTTACACCAACAACATAGTTAATGATCTTGTTTCTATTATTTTAAAACTTTATTAAATTGTTAATCAAAATTTGAACCATGTATAATCCCGACTTATATTTACTCTTTTTGAAGACATACATAAATGTATTATCTGTAAGTCTGTTGATGCAGTTACATCTGCTCTGTAGGGTGTTAAATCTGGATGATTTTATGGTTTAAAGTTTCATACCATCGTCATCAGGAGTGACGAATTATGATGGTTTTAGTAATAGGAGCACCTTTTATCTCCTACTTTATACCAATTTTGTCAGGGATGCCACTGTTATAAATAAAATTCAGCAAATTTAGATTCACTCACAGACACATAACAAAGTTGACGTCAAAATCGGTAGCTATGTCAAAGACCACAAGGCTTCCGTAGGATAACGAAGAACATATCGCGTTCAAGTTTTTCAAAATGTTGTCCACCATTGGAGACGCGAATTACCGAGTTTATTTTAAAACATTCGGTTGATCCTTAGATGCGAAGTAGGTACTTCAAGCAGCGAGTGACCCGATTGTGGTCAGACGTTTTCGGATTAACTTCTCCGAGTGACTTTGCAGCATTTTTCCTTGACTAATGTTGCACGTTGTTCCAGAAAACCTGACGGATGTATTTTAAGGATGAAATGGTTTTCATTCCGCAGTCAATTCAAAAAGAGCACGACAACTGTAAGACCCGTATAAAAATCATCTTTTCCCTGGGATCATTATTAGCACAGCAATACGCGTTGCTATCAACAATTTCCTCTAGTTTGTGTTCAGTGGAATCTATGAAAATAAAAATACAGACAGGGATGCACACTGTCGTCGCTACTTTTTAATCTACACATCGAAGATATTTCAACTATTAAAGACAGTATAACTGTAGGGATAGATATACAGGGGCAAAAGATTAGTACGCTTAGATTTGCAGATGATATAGCAGTATTAGAATCTAGCAAGGAGGAGTTAGAGATAGCTTTAAATAAAATGGAAGCGGTCCTGACAGATCAGTACTGTATGAAAATAAATTAAAATAAAACAAAAATACTGGTATGCAAGGGAAGAAAAGGTAGGGAAAGAGCGAATATAAAGATAGGAGACGAAAAATTAGAAGAAGTGGCTGATTTTAGGTATCGAGGAAGACAGATAAGTCAGGACGGAAGGAGTAGTAGGGATATAAAGCAGAGGATAGGGCAGGGTTAAGTCGCCTTCAATAAAAAGAAGTCACTTCATGCTCGCGAACGATTAATAATAGGAGAAAAGACGACTCTATGGAAGTCAATTAAAAATATGGGTGAGATAGGTTGGCAGGACACCTTCCCAGGCATGAAGGTCTAGTTAGAGACGTATTAGGGGCAGAAACAGGAGTTAAGATGAGTACAGGTAGATCTAGATTAGATTACTGACGATCTTATGATGATCATGAAAATGTCAGAGAGCAGTCCGATCGTAAATCTCTATATTCATGTTCCTATATCTCATTTTGAAAACATTAGGAAATGAAAAAATATACGATTTTCTCAAAGCGTTTACACTACTATGTTATATTATCTGACGGAAACAAAGTTGTGCCTGTTCAGCGGATTTTACAACGCAAAATTCCTTTATGAATCCCGAGCTTGTACACCTGAGACTCCAGATATCATCAATAAAACAATACGAAGTTGGTGTGTGTGTGTTGTGCGCCCGAATCCTAACGTAGCAGCGTGAATACATCATGTATACGAGGGTGGATTGATAAGTTTCCGGCCTGACCAAGAAAAACAAGGTTTTTAAAATTTTTTTTTTTTTATTTCTCAACATAATCTCCTCCAAGGCTGATACATTTCTCATAGCGGTGTTCCAGTCTATTAATGCCATCTCTATAGACTGATTCGTCAAGCTCCTCAAAATAACCATTTACAGCTTCGATTACTTCTTCATTGTCCGCAAATCTCTTACCGCCAAGCCATTTTTTGAGATTAGGGAACAGAAAATAGTCACTCGGGGCTAGGTCTGGAGAGTAAGGAGGGTGCGGCATCAATTCAAACTTTAGATCGTTGATTTTAGCCGTCGCAACGATTGACGTGTGCGCTGGTGCGTTATCGTGATGAAACAAGATTTTTTTCTTCGCCAGATGAGGTCGTTTAATTTTCACCTCGTGGCTCAAACGTTGCAATAAGTCTGCGTAGTATTGACCAGTGATAGTATTACCCTTTGCAAGGTAATCAATGTATATAATACCTCTTGCATCCCAAAAAACAGTAGCCATAACCTTGTTCGCCGAAAAAATTGTTTTTGCCTTCTTTGGAGTTGGTTCCCCTGGTCCAATCCACTGTTTAGACTGTTCTTTGGTTTCAGGAGTGTAGTGGTGGACCCACGTTTCGTCAACGGTTACGAATCGACGCAAAAATTCGCTTGGATTACGCTTATACAATGACAAATTTGCGGTAGAAATGTTTTTTCGAATCAATTTTTGGTCGACTGTTAGCAAACGCGGCACCCATCTTGCACAGAGCTTTTCCATATGCAAATGTTGGTGCAAAATATGTTGCACACGTTCATATGACATCTTACAGGTCTCAGCTATCTCACGCACTTTCAATCTGCGGTCTCCCAGCACTATTTGATGAATTTTTTCGATCATATCTGGAGTTGTGACCTCAACGGGGCGTCCTGAGCGAGGCCCATCAGAGGTGCTCACACGACCCTTTTTAAACTCGGAAACCCACTGCTTAACGGTTGAATATGACGGGGAGGATGTCCCCAGTGTTGAGTCCATCTCTTTTTTAATTTCCTTCGGCGTTAACCCCTTCAAATAAAAGTATTTGATGACAGCACGATTTTCCTGCTTTTCCATTTTTACGAAAACCACAGAGGCGTCTTGTTCAGCGTGCTGTCAAACCTACACTAGCAAGGAGATCGGGCTGAAACTATAGCTACAAGCTATCCAAGGATGGTACTATAGAATGTCACCTCAAGGTAGGCCTAGTGGCGTCATCTCTTGGTTAGGCCGGAAACTTATCAATCCACCCTCGTACTATACAATATATACATACATGTGAATGTTTTTAGCAGAATAGCATCTCTGCTATCATACAAAACCCTACACGTATACATATATGCATATATTTGTATATGTTTTACACATATACCATATACAGACGCGGTAAATCACTTCGTTTTCCGAGGTGAATCCAAAACGGAGCTGTGCGAATTGCGTCGTATCGCGATACAGATTTATTGAGTCCGCAATTTAGATATAGAACTGAATGGTTCAGAAGTTTTCAACTTATCAAACCTACGGAAAATTATCTTGTGTCTTAAATTGTCTAGAAGTAGTTTACAATAAAGTTGGTAAATGTCTAGATGATGGCCCCCACCCCCGAAGGGTGGATGGGATCGAAAGAGGGGGTCTGCCCCACCACTGTACTATAGAAAGTTCGTGGCGGTCTCACCCCCATAAAAAGTTATGGGGGTTAGATGGAGGTGGGGGTAGGGGGAATCGAAAGTGGGTGGACACCTGAGTAAAAACCCATAAAAAGTTCGTGGCGGTCTCACCCCCATAAGAAGTTATGGGGGTTGAAAGTTGACTATTGTGACAATTTTCATACACTAAACTCCTTAAAAAATTTGCGGCGGTCTCACCCCCATAAAAAGTTATGGGGGTTGAAAGTTGATTATTTTGACAATTTTCATACACTAAAATTCAAATAAAATTCAATAAAATAATTATTTTCAAGCGGGTGGAGGTGGGGGATCGAAAGAGGGTGGTCACTTGAACAAAACCCGATAACTTAACCTAACCTAACATACCCTATTGATAAAGATATTTAAATAATGTTCTTTATAACTTTCTTATTATTTTTATTAACTTCCCATTAGGAAGTTATTGTAATTGGGTCGAAAANTACATGCCTAGAAATGTATAAAAATTGGCATATTTATTAACTTTGAACCCCTATAACTTTTTATGTGGGTGAGACCGCCACGAACTTTTTATGGTACAGTTGTGGGGGAGACCTCCTCTTTCGATCCCCCCAACCCCACTCCCGAAATTCGTATACATATGTAAGATGCGACTTCTGGAATTTGAAAAAGGGATGTAATTGTGTCTGAGGCCTACCTAATCTTGTATAGTCATAAAAATCATCAATCAATATTGAAGTGTTGGATTTGTCAAATGTCAAGATTTAGTCATAGGGACAGAGGAGGTAGGATGTGGTAGCAAAATTCAACAATTATTACATTAATAAAGATAAGTGATCTCAGACAGATGTCATCTTATCTTAAGGCCAAAAAATACTTACTACTATCGCAAAATACAAATTATCTCTGACATAGATTCCTCAAACAACATCATCCCTCCACGAAGCGCATGACGCATAGTTAGATAAGAATTTCGAAAAACTTTTGATGCATTGTTTCAGTATTACAAAATGAAAAGCAGCCAGCTGTGCAGAATTTGTTAGGACATTGCAGACAGTTTTAATACGAGGAATCTTCACTATTTTAGTTAATTAATTTGCTTATGCAAAATCTTGACTTAACTTCTGGCATGAAGCCCTGCTTTACTTGCTGCAGATACTCTGGACATAGTTTCAATTTCTTTCACTTAAAATTTACAAAAACTTTTGCTAAATGGCTTATAATTCGGGGTTGAGACTTGGGCGACGGTGGGCGCGGCGGAAAACAAAAGGTTAGAAGCGTTCGAAATGTGGTGTTATAGGCGAATGATGAGGATACCGTGGATAGAGAAGGTTAGAAATAAAGAGGTATTAGATAGAATAGGAAAACACAGGATTCTATGGAAGTCTAGGCGAGATAGGTTGGTGGGACACCTTCTTATGCGTGAAGGTCTAATCAGAGACATATTAGAGGCAGAAACAGAAGTTAAGAGGAGTAGAGATAGACCCAGATTAGATTACTGTTCGCAAATAGTTAAGGACGTGGGTTGTTCTAGTTTTAGGGAAATGCGAAGATTAGCTCAGGATAGGAAAGAGTGGAAGTGCGTGTCCAACCAGTCTCAGGACTGACGACCTTATGATGATGATGAAGAACCAATATGACCAGAGTTAATAAACAACAGTGATAACAGTGGAAAGCATTTTTATTTCTTTATACCTTTACTACCACAACAACAGCAACATGTCCCTTTTCTTTCAGTCGAAGACTCAACACTTAGACTGATGGTAGTTACAAAGAGAATGTTATTATCCAACCCTTGTGTCAGAAATATATTCCAATTATCGCCAAATCGAAACTACCTAACGTCATTCCTTGTCCAATTACAATTGACGGAGCAACTGACAGACGTTCATTAAAATTAACACCACGATCGGAATCGATCTATCTCATTTTTCGTTTAATTCTAAATCGATGCTTGTAGGTTATAATACGGAGTAATGAAGAGAAGAAAATGGGGCAAAGGCGTCCGGGTTCGATGGCGCACAAGTCGACCGCCGCGACGCTCCAGCGTCTGTTCTAAATTGAAAGTTCGTTATTAAGTTGACATCGGGGCGAGCGTCTTCTCTTTGTCGGCGTTTGAGAGATTAGCGATTCATTATTATTGCCTTCTCATTCTCTTTACTAGTTTAATAAGTAAGTATGTTCATAATTAGCTTATCGATCAAAAAGTACGACGATCCCGTTTCACAAGCCCGTTCCCTAACAACGACCCCAGTGCGAAAAAAATCGTAAAGAAATTATCGAAATAGATAACAAATTAATAACTTTTTGAATAAAATAATTCGAAGTGGTCTGTATTCTGTCGAAACTGCCAGACTTTTGGATCTCATCAGCGCGTCGCAGGCATCTCCAACAGAACACAGACCAACTTTTACCTGGTGTCTTAACAGCGCGTTTTAGAAAATACTACAAATGGCGCAGTAAACGCCATCTGTAGCTCGATGCTACATTTTATTATTACGTATGCTCAAACAAGGTCCACTTGTGTGGATATCTACTTGCTGAAAACGAATCCCGGCGTAGCCAACCTCAACGTGATAGGCACGTTAGCTTAATCGAATAAAATAATTCGAAGTNCCACTTCGAATTATTTTATTCGATTAAGCTAACGTGCCTATCACGTTGAGGTTGGCTACGCCGGGATTCGTTTTCAGCAAGTAGATATCCACACAAGTGGACCTTGTTGGAGCATACGTAATCCTAAAATGTAGCATCGTGCTACAGATGGCGTTCACTGTGCCATTTGTAGTATTTTCTAAAACTTTTTGAACGTTTCAAAATTGAATCTGATGTAAATTTTCTCAAGTTTGATCGCGCCGTATAACCGCAATGTAATTCAATTTCACCACAACGTAATAATAACTAACTACAATGTAATGACTTCAAAATGCTCGAGAAAGTTTAAAACATTTACTTTCGATGTTGTACAATAATCGTAGTCGCAGTTACTAGTCAACTGTTAGATGAAGGATTGTCATTTCTATTCATGTCCGTCGTTTGATCCTTTATCAGGAAGTTTTGTCACTCGGAAACTATTTCTCGATTTCGAAAGCGAGGCATTTGTGCGTCACCCAACAAACTGTACGTCAATACCAAGTGGTTTCTACGGTCACAGGGGCCTAAACTTGTTGTGTCAAACTGCGAAAATTCTGAGACAGTTCGGAACTCTATTACACCAAGTCTTGGAAGACTATGTTCCAGTACAGGCCCAACCACAAGCCTTACACAATTTTAAATTTCGATCACATTTGTGCAAGGGAATAAACAAAAGACAAAATTTCATTTCTTGTTTTTGGTTCGGCTGTCCCCGCATAATTTCGTAATCGCGTTTTTGGCAACTCCTTCGACTTGAACGGGGGATATCTTAAGTGGTCCTTAACCGCAGGAACTTTTCTAGAAGAAAAAAGATCCAATTGGAGTTTTATTGGACAACTCAGCAAACAGCAGAACGAGTCTGAACAAAAGAAAGAACTCGATCCGTAGAAGAAACAAAACGTTTGAATATTTCGAGATAGAAAAAGGAATAGACCCCACGCCAGTCAGGAACATAATCCAGAGGCAGCTTAAGACCCTACCGCTACCCATTTCTACGGGCTTTTAGTCGGAGAACAAGCACTGAATCCAAAATTTATTTTCACAAGAATAACGCAGCGACAAAAAAGAAAACAGAAAAAAGCGAAAACGATAACTTATTTTTCGCATGTCGTGGTGCCGCGCGTAAACTTCTCGGATGGCAACTGTCATCTAACCAGTGGCGTAGTTAGAAAAACAAGTGAAGATAGCGTGTTACAAGCAAGCACTTGACGCTATCACAGCGCGAACGAGCCGTTTGTAAGTTAACGGATCATCGATCGGAATGTCATTTATCTAGATTATTTCACGCGCGCGCTCGATCGAACGTTAATAAACGTGAACTTTAAGCAAAATTGGATTGCTACCATGTAATCTCCCGTTTAATGGACGACAATTCCATTTTCGTAGCAGCGCGACGGCAAAGTAACAAAGTGAGCTAGCAATAACAATAAGAACGAATTGGAAATGTAGCCAGTATCCATTATCAACATGTGAGATTAGGTAATCCCTAATCCCGCACTTTATCAAAGTCAACTTTAATTTAAAATCGTTTCCATTGGACAAGAAACTAACTTTCGCTAGGGTGTTTTATGGGTTCATACAGAAAGCGGTTTTAGCTTAAAAATACCCGTATAGTTAAAGTATAAATAATATTTGGACACTTACCATCACGTCCACGGATGAATTATTTTCTTCCTTCTAGGAGGTGATCCGACTGGAAACGGAATACTGGACGCTCGTGGACATCCCGAAGCAAGAGAAACAAGAAACCGTACCCGCGTTCGTATTAAGGGCGTGTACCATTATGGAAAAGGCCCAGAAATCGGGAGAGGGCGTCAAGACTACGGCGAAGTTGGCAGAAGAAGCCCAAAGTAAAAAGGAACGCATAGAACGCCTGGAAAGTAAGAAAATTACCTTATAGAGTTCCAAATTGCTAAACAACTAAACAATACACATATATATATATATATTCATTAGAAAAAATATAACAAATAGATAACAGATTTCGAAATGGTTCAGTTAGTGACTTTATTTAGCATGTTCTATTTCCGCACTCTTGGCATGTAAGAACATTAACCAAAGATAGGAAGGCAAAAGAAAAGGTAAGAAAGATCCCCGTGTTCAAGGAAAGAAAATCCAGCGACAGGACAGTAAGCATGACTGGATAATCCCATTGTGCAAATGCCTTTTCGCATTTTACTTTGCTGCCTCTCGCCTGTTCGTTCTCTTTAGCGAAAATAAAATAACAATGTAGATACTGACGTTCAAAAGTAGTGAAGTCCTTATCTAAACGACATTTTAACGACCACATAAAATAGACACTTTTTAATCAAATACCAATGGTGAACTCGTTTTCCAATTATAATACACAGCTACTGCAATTTTTGACATTTTTTTTCCCCGGTTAATTGAGTAAAATACACAAATGCAGTTATTTCAGTTATTAACACCCTGTATGCATTCGGGACATGCTATCATCTTTTATGACCCGCAAGAAGCGTCTGAAAGGGAGAGATTGCCCGATTCCAGCGGCATTTCCAGAGTTAAGTTTTTACGAGGCAGTTAATAAAGACTTCAGGAAATAAATTGTTTTTTTTTTTTTTTTTTAACGCGACATCAGGATCTTCCGCTACTACCTCCGCCACGTTGCAGCACCGTTGCCTCGTGCCAAAATAAATTTACGAATTGACTGCATAAAACAAAAGAATCGCCTAATTGGATAAACGAAACACAAAATAAATGACTACGCTATTTTACGTTTGTATGTTGTTTAGAAATTGTTTTTTTTTTTTTTATTGTTTCAGACATGACCACGTCCCAAATTGATTCCGAGAACACGCAGATGACCAACGACCTGTACAGGCTTCTCAAAAAATATTCTGGCCTACGAAATCTAATTAGACAACTCAAGGTGAACAACGTCATTATTTCTTCTTCTATTATTATTATTCTTTTATTTCTTCAGAAATTATTCAGTAGCAAACAAATGAAATTTATCGCTTCCGAAAATATTATCCTCAAAATATAGGGTTGTTCGGAAAGTCATTTCGTTTTTTTTTTTTTGTGGAAATAAAAGACAGTTTTCGTATAATAAACAAATACTTTATTAAATTATATATTGACCGTTCTGGTCCAACACCTTTTGCCATCTTTCTGGTAGTAGCATAATTCCACGCTCATAAAATTTTTGGTCTTTGCTGGCAAAAAACTGATCGAAGAGGTTTTTGATCTCCTCATTTGAGGTGAAGGTTTTACCGTGTAAAAAATTTTGGAGTGACCGGAACAAATAATAATCCGATGGTGCCAGGTCTGGAGAATATGGTGGGTGTAGCATTGTATCCCATTCAAGCTGTAAAAGCTTTTGGCGAGTGACCAAACTTGTGTGAGGTCTCGCGTTGTCTTGGTGAAACACTACACCTTTCCTGTTGATTAGTTCTGACCTTTTCTGTTGAAGTGCATCATTCAGTTTGTCCAGCTGATGACAGTAGACTTCCGAATTAATCGTTGTGTTATCCGGTAAAAGCTCAAAAAAAACGATTCCTTTAAAATCCCACCAAACAGACAGCATCACCTTTTTTTGGTGAATATCGGCTTTGGAAATGGTTTGAGCCGGTTCATCTTTTTTGCTCCATGACCTCTTGCGTTTGACGTTGTTGTATACAACCCATTTTTCGTCCCCAGTGATGATGCGCTTCAAAAACGGATCATTTTCGTGACGTTTGAGAAGCGAATCGCAGACGTCAATGCGGCGACACAGATTTCTCTCTGTGAGAACATGGGGAACCCATACATCGAGCTTCGAGGATAATCCCAGGCCTTTCAAGTGGTCATAAACTGTTGAATTTGATAAATTTAACCTCAATCCGATCTCACGTGTTGTTATTCGCCGGTTCACATCAACTAATGCCTTTATCGCGTCTTTATCAGCTTCAACCGGCCTTCCCGAACGTGGTGCATCTTCGACATCAAAATTGCCGGATCGAAATTTAGCGAACCAGTTCTGGCACTGGCGTACTGTCAACACACCTTCTCCATACACATCAGTCAATTTCTTTCTGGCTTGAACAGCATTTTTACCCTTTCTGTAGTAAAACAGTAAGATATGTCGAAAATGCTGCTTATCGCTCTCCATATTTAAAAGGGCACCAACCAAAAGCTACTGCGTAGAATTAATTGGAATTTTTCACACACAAGTCTTGCTATATGAGTTCTCAAAGCATATAAAAATTATACGGCTTAAATGTGAAGTTGGGTGCAAAAGAATATAATTAAATCCTCTGTCGGGAAAAAACGAAATGACTTTTCGAACAACCCAATAGTAAATCCAATAATCCACACATTCATAAACCAAATGTCCTCTTCGGAATACACTAGATAAAGAGGTCATTCGTGAATCTTTTAAAATACCTTCCAAAAAGTTGGTTGATTTAAACTAATTACATATCACCCTGTATGTTTACGTTTAGAACGACTATGTGAATTCGAAACTGTACCCGATGTTCCCTCGTTACACAATGCTCAAGGATATGATCAAGGACATCATGCTCCACCCGGACTACATGGAGGTTTGCCACGAGGTGGACGCATAGCCAAAATCCTTCGCGGCCTAAAACGCCGTATCACATACTGACGCGATAAAAACCGCCACCCCTTTTCCACCCCCTTCTAAGGATTAAATATTTCGGGCTTCTTCGCTACTAATATATTTTCTTCACAGTCGGACACTCATCAGTACCTATCTAGACTTGCAGTGGGTAATTACTGAGAAAAATTCAATAAATAAAAGAAATATATATATAAAGGGGCCTAGCAAATTCAATAACTAAAAGAAGAAATAAATATATATATATATCAAAAAAAAACAAAGGGGCCTAGCAAAGAGGCATACAAAAAATCTGGGTAGGCTGAAAGTCGAATTTTTCCAAATCTAGGTACCATATCTATATAATTCGAAATACGTCTCATTACTTTCGAAATTGTAGTACGTATTAGATTAAGATTACATTAAGTACTAGCATATTAATAGTGTAAATTCTTGATCTTTATTGCATTTGAACAAATGCGTACAAAGTCTGAAAACTTTGAGTTCGATTATTTGTTAATTAATTGCTAACAGCAATCATTTATCAAAAAGGATTTGTCGAAAATTTTGGTGGAGGAGCCAGGACAATTTACAACTAAGTCTACAGTCGAGTCATAATTCCAGTTTCATCTTCGTTTAAAGTTACCTTTTGACTATATTAATAACTCAACCCCCTATATTAATCCAATTTCTACCAACACCTTTAAGATCATTTTAATGTCTTTTAACAAAACAGTTGAAAATTTGCCACTGACGATGAGGTACGGGGTTGATACCGAACCTTCACTTATATTAGCCACTTTGCAAAATGCACCCCTGATAATTTCTAACAAGAAGGAATTTTGTGTAAAAGCCTTAAGCCTCGTTTAATGCAATTTGCCTATGTAACCGGTAATATGATATATCTCTACGATTGGTTGAGGGAACTGTAATCAATTTGGGTCGTGGAAGTCGGCTAAATTTATAGGCACCCCTGAGGCGCCATTAAACTTAATTACAATCCTGTTATTAATGCAAAATGCCGTTTCGGCTTCCTCTGATCACCTGTAACACAATTAAGAAATAAAAAACAAAATCACGCTGAAGGGACGTAGATACTAAACTTAACTTGTGCTGATAACGCCAAAATTGAAGTCCTTTATCGATAAGCTTGAAATTAAGAAAAATTTTACCTAAAAAGTCATGTTTTTATAATAAACAATGGACTAATACTTGAATAAAACAAATGAGACGTTAAAAATTAAACATCTGACAATGGAAGAGTTAAACAACTGAATGCCACAAAAAGAAGATCAATTTTGTTTTAACTATTTTAAAGATTATATTGAAAACAAATGAGTGTAGAATTGGAAATAAGAATAATAGTGACACACATTTCACAGATTCTTCGCCGATTTTTGTGACATACTGTACAAAACCATCTTTTAATGAATTACTGTATTTAGTTATTAGTTAGAACGCATATGACGATTATCTAAGTATAAAACACTGCCTTTAGCAAGTAAATTATGTACAATATATACTTAAAGGTGCATGTTTGTGTGAAAATTGTACTGTATGTATGTAAATATCAATTTATTAATATGCATCTGATACTGTAAAATTTATAGAAATCCGTAGGTAAGTAATGTAAGATCACTTGTTATATCTACTGCAAACATCTGTTTTCGATGTAAGTATAAATAATAATAATAGTGAAAAAAATTAATTAAACAAAGAAAACCTATTAATAAACATAAACAATGATGCTAATAAATGTCTGTGAGGTGTATCTGTATTGGGTAAATTATAACGTATAATGACCACCTACTATGATATCTGTAATAGTAACAATAGTAATATGACATATTAAAGCTTGCTGATCGAAATTTATGCGGTCAGACAAAAAAAATAATAAATGTGTAAAAATATATTATATACTTATAATATGCGTACAACTAAATAAATAAAATATTCCTAGGTAAGAAACTTGTTGACTGCAAAATGCCTCTTCGAATGTTAATATTGTAATAAACATTAATTTATTAAAATCTTGTTATCTTTTGCTTAAATGTAAAAACACTATTACAACATATTGTACTTGTAACTTCAGGAATTATTTACCAATAAAAGTTTTGATGAAATACGAGTGTGATTTTTTATTATGTATCAGAACCCCAAATTTCATGCAATTTTCTTTATGGAAAATCTACAATATCTACTGTTACCAAGTTTTGAAATTGTTTTATTATTTTCTCTCAAGAATTTGTTCGCTACTGTTTTATTGAACAATTGCTCAAAGAAAACAACAAACAATCTTAAATAAAACAAAAGAACATCTCCTTCAGAGATCTTCGAAAGTATTACCGTCATCGCCGTTAGTAATTGAAAAGGTTAATTATTGCATCACTCTTATTATTGGATCAGGCCATTTGACCTCTTTATGTTACGATTAAACAAACATCAAGGGATTTAGTTGAGAACAACTTGATTAATCCACTCATAGTTCCAAACTAAACTACTGGTTAATGATGAGTATCTACCCCTATATAATCCGCAATTCGTAAGGGCAAATTGTAACATTGTCCCACAGGACACCAAAATATTATCGAAGAAGGAAACATTATGAAGTAAATTGATGATATTAATCTTATTACATGTGGTACAATTAATTTTGTATTTTATGAAAAGTTCTGAAAACTTTGACCATTTAATACTCTGTTTCTTTTGTTTTTGATTAATCATCCCCATGCATGGACTACCACAAACGATTTTACAAAAAGACCGGGAATGAAAATCCTTTGATGTATTCACATCATGGACTGGATCGGTACATATTGCGATACGTTAATACAGTTTTCCCGCTAAAGGATATTAAATCCTCTCGTATTAAGTTCTCCATTCATTTTATTTTTTTGATCATTAGTGGGATCATTTATGATACCAAGCGAAAAAAATAAAACTTATAAACCGCCATCACAGATAACGGGAAATATAGAGAAGCAACTTTCCTGGTTTATTAATTTTTTTTTTTGCAGTTTTATCTGTCGTCGTTATCCTTTTATTTCTAGGTGCGCTTTTAACACATCACAGTCTGCTGCAAACTCATCATTAACGATGCAATGCAGCGCTTTTCCAGAAAAGGACTGTTAATCTTTTATTCATTTCTCTTACTATTTGGTATGCAAAATTTTCATCATTAGGACTGCTGTGTCCTGGGTGTATGTAGTTATAATAAATCCTTCCAGGATTTTCGACATCTCCAATACAAAAGCACAAATGAACAGGCACAAAAAACAAAGTTACAGCGATCTATGTTGATGTGTACAATCAGCGCCACAAAACAGTTTCTTTAAACTGTATGTCGCGCAGGATACTATAAAGATTCTTGTTGGAAAACTTTCGCTCGATTGGAACCATATCCATTTTCCAGAAGGACGCTTTTCTTGCAGATTTCTTCTAACAGTCTTTTGCCTGTTATAAGCGTCGCGACGTCTGTGAATGCGCCCTCATCCGGGCGCACTTTATATTAAATAGGATACTGTAAAGAATCTTGTTTCGTTGAATTGGAACTTAGCATTTCAATTTTCCGAAAGCTTATTTTGTGAAACTGTAATTTGAAAAACTGGGCGATTTTCAAATTTTTTTCTTGCAGATTACTTTTGTCGATCATTCAATTGTTACAGGCGTCGCAACGACTGTAACAAGCGCCCGTAGCGTTCCTACATAACAGGCAGGATACTGTAAAGAACATTTTGGAAAACTTAACATTTCCATTTTCCGGACACGTATTTCTTGAAGCTGTAATTCGAAAAACTCGACCGATTTTCAATTTTTTTCTTGCAGATTTCTTTTGTCGATCATTCAATTGTTACAGGCGTCGCAACGACTGTAACAAGCGCCCGTAGCGTTCCTACATAACAGGCAGGATACTGTAAAGCTCCTTTGGAAAACTCAACATTTAAAATTTCCGCAAACGTATTTCTTGAAGCTGTAATTTGCAAACCCCGGCCGATTTTCAATGTTTTTCTTTTGCAGATTTCTTCGGACACTTTTTTACCTGTTGCGTGCGTCGCGACGACCGTGGATGCGCGCGCACCCGATCGCATATTCGAACGTGGAGCAGCGGGAAAGCGAAATCCACAAACGGTCTTCAACTGTCTCGACCTCCGCATCACCAGAAGCTCACGGCGCGCACCAGTACCATTCCGTAGCCGAAGAAGTCGACATCGCTGACCATCTTCATCGTGGTATGGCCCACGATCTTCCAAGTCGACCCGGTGGCCGACCGGTAGACATCGCGTACGCGAGTTATCGTATTCACTTTTAATAATACAGTTTTTCCGGTTTCCAATTTGATTTTCCTTTGTCGCGGGGTGAAATTAATAAATAAATAAATAAATAAATAGTGAGTGGCTGCCGGTGCGCGAAAAAGGTATGGACAAAGCGTATGATTCGAAGAAATGCCCTTCGTGCAAAGGGTGGTCGAGCCCAAGTACGTGAGCCGAACGAGCCTCTTCGACGAGGATGGAAAACCGAAGATTTCGGACGGAGAATTGGATGCCGTCACCAACAGCACTCTCAGCAACGCGCTCAGGCAGCTTGCGTCACTCGTCCTGGCCGCGAACGACATCTTCACCGAGTTAACCAAGGACCTGCAGAAGATCACCGAGAGATCCCACAGTCTCAAGACCAAAATCGAAAAATTAGACCAGAAAGTTGCCACGTACGATCCCAAGAAAGTTTCTGTTCGTAAGTACCATCCGTTATTTTTACACCAAAGTAGACACTAGAATCTTTGATGAACAAGTTTGAAAACCTTATACAATTTTGGTTATATTAGGAATCTCTTTAAAAATCAGGATTTGGAAGGTCCTTGTTACAACCAACAACCACCCACCATTGCACGTCTAAATAAGTAATATATTTTGTGCCATTCGATATAACATGCATTCATTCGTCAATTAAAAAACCATAAAAATTATTGTGACCTTGCTTTTGCCACAAAACAAATCCAAACGAAATGTTAAGTCCGTTAGTGTTGGCCTCTTGGGATATTTACATGTATATATTTCCCGAAAACCAGGTGTCCGTCCAGTGGTCTTTTCCATTTGTAAAATTATTGCAAACGAATTTGCCCGACATAACACAAGAACTACGAGAGACTAAACATGCACGCACCGTACGTGATCTATTCTATGTAGTCAGTCGATAATGTAATTCTTCGGGATTGAATTGACCGCGTTAAACATTTGTAATTCAAGTCATTTGCGTACGCGAGCTTATAAAAAAACAATAAACAAGCTAGGTACACGGCGTACAAATAACAATAATAGAGTACACTTAAAAATACATCGATTGCTTGCATAACCAACGATAAATTGGAGAGTTTAACGTACAAGGACAAGGTCGACCACAAACGGGGAATTGAAGTGGTACGAATTTTTGTTTTTCTATTTAATAATTTATATGAAACAACTTTCTTAACCGCAACTCGGGGTAACCCAACCCTTCGACATCATATAATGTATCTATTTTTTGTTGGAAATAAAAAATATCTATTTTTGCCTTGCATTTACATAATATTTTGAGAAAAGCATTTTGTATTTGATTTAAAATACGTTTCTCAAAGTATTTTCTATTTGCAAAAGCAAAATACGTTTTTGCTGTTATAAGTTTTGCTAGTATCACCGATTATATAAAATGATGAATGAAAGGTGCTCACATTGGCCATTGAAGGTGTTACAAAGGGGCAACGAGACATTTCATGAATGCTTTCTAATTCTTTAACTGAAGAGAGACCAAAAAATTCTAAACTCCTTGGAAATTGATAATCTAAAATATCGAATCGATATTGTTTTCCGGGTTCAATGTCTTGGTCCATGGAATTTTGAAGTTCCAAATTGATATCAGCACATGTCAAATCATCACTTATCGTACTTTTAGCAAGGAACTACGAAATTCTATGAATTACGACAAAACAGCCCCCCAAAACAATATCGAATTGATATACGCCAGCTGTGTAAAACTGAAAACAAGATACGTAACAGATACAAGATATTGTGGTGTGCTAATAAATGCCTATAGGTAATCCAAAATTCTTAGAAAACTATTCGAAAAACTTCACTTGTTAGATGAACCCAAAGCTAAAGAAACTATGGATTCCATTTCATTCTCTTATTACAGTGTGTAAAAGATCAGAAACAAAATAGAGTTGTAAAAATTTTGATATAAAACGATTGATGTTTATTTTACATCAAAAAAACTTATTTGAAAATACGTATTTTGCATTTAGCATTTAAAATAGAAAAGGAAAATCTATTTTGTGTTTTACATTTGAAATAACAACAAATCAAAAAAGCATTTGCATTTTGTATTTAAATACGTTTAAAAAACATATTTGCACATTTCTACAATTATCTATGTATTTAAAAATAAAAATCTTGAAGACCTAAGTCTGGCAGGGGTTACTTACGAAAGTGATAAAATTGTGATAACAGAAGTTTATTTATGTGTATAAACAAACCAGGTAGATATAGGTATATACATATAACGCCAATAAAATTGTTGGAAATTTTCTGCTGCGATAATAACTGCATTAAGTATACACAGAATTAATTCGTTTCCTTCCAAGAAACCGTTGATATTCTTTTCTTTTCGAAACCTGTCTAAACCGGCCCTGTATCTTTCACCCTTAAGCCAGCACGATATTAACCGTGTCTCTCACTTTTTCTCAGCGGGGTTTCGTCCCAATCTAAGTCTTATAACCGTCAACGACCCTGCTCGCAGGAATCCGACAAATATCTATAACAGAAACGCGCGGGACCCCTTCGATAAGGGCGTCCACACACGTTTCCTTTTTTTTTTATTTACACATGCGGCATTCCTCGTCCCTACTACTGCTGCTGCCAGCTGATGGTACGGAAGTGCCACGGTAATTTTAATCGAAGGCAGAAAAAAGAAACAGACGTCGGTGTTGACGAACTTCCGCAAGCACTAGGTACCTACCTTCTTCGCTTTCGGTAAATATTATTGTTGGATAGGTGCGATACGTTATTTGGACAAACAAACTGAAGAAATCAAGGTGGAGAGGTAAATAGAAAGAAATTAAAAAATTTGACGTTTCCTGCGTGAATGAAAGATAAGAAACTTGAGTTTGACGTTATCACTTATCATAAAACACGTAGTCTTTTTATTTGGTCTCGTTCGTGATAGACCATAATAATTATCTATCTATATATAATATGTAGGTACCTGATGTTTATTGTTGTTACTCAAATAAACGAGTAGAATGTTTGGTATGCTATAGGGAATGTAATAATAACTTTTGTGTAGACATTTAAACTATTCAATACTGTAAAGTAAACATTAATCTATCTAAAGGGGCGTACCTATAAAAACGATCATATCATTTTCAGACGTAGATAAGAAGAAAAGTTGTAATTCGATAGGGAGTGGTTTCAGAAGAATTTCAATCACTCTTTGTGAAGAACCAGGTTTTACCCCGCGATTTCGCTAGCGGTAAATGTCTAAGATGATGGCAAGGAGGGATCGAAACAGGAGGTCTCCCCCACCACTCTACCATAAAAAGTTCGTGGCGGTCTCACCCCCATGAAAAATTATGGGGGTTAGATGGGGATGGGGGTAGGGGGGATCGAAAGAGGGTGGTCACCTGAGTAAAACCCCACAAAAAATTTGCGGCGGTCTCACCCGCATAAAAAGTTATGGGGATTGAAAGTTGATTATTTTGACAATGTTCATAACTATAATTCAAATAAAATTCAATAAAAAAAATATTTTCAAGCGGGTGGAGGTGGGGGATCGAAAGAGGGTGGTCACTTGAACAAAACCCGATAACCTAACCTAACCTACCCTATTGATAAAGATATTTAAATAATGTTTTATATAACTTTCTCAATATTTTTATGTATTTTTCATTAGTTTTACCTTTAAATATTGTTTAAGAATGACTATAGATATAAATATTTACATGCCTAGAAATGTACAAAAATTGGCATATTTATTAACATTGAACCCCTATAACGTTTTATGGGGGTTAGACCGCCACGAATTTTTGTGTGGGGGCCACCATCTAGACCTTTACCACAAATTTACTAGGTATTTTAGTTGATATTAAAAATTAAGAAACTTAAAATAATTTTTAAAGAAACATGTCACAATTGAGATTATTACAAGTTACCTAATAAATTC